TCATCATTTGAATCTGCCCGAAATAGAAACAAACTATCAAACGGAAGCAAACATATATAAATCAAACGAACAAGAACAAAAAAACATTCCAAAAGAAAAGCCATGAACATCTTGAGAGAAAAAAGACTGAATGTATGATAAATAACATCAATAGACAATAGCAGATAATAATAATGTTCTTTAAAAAAAAACACAAAATAAATAAAATATCATTTAAATTAAATAAAACTACTGTTACACAAACAAATAATTCATTTTTCAATAGATATACTACTCATGTTTTTTGTTTTGTTTTATTTAAATATAAATTAAAACATGCTGGAAATCGATATTGTACTCAGATTAGATAAAATTAAAAGAATAATAATTACCTTTAGATGCTAAAAAAAGAAAAAAAGATTTGTGAATGTGTACATTTTACTAATTCTAAAATAACCTAAAAGTCATAAGAAAGTTTGTTGGCAGTCTCTTGGATGCTGCAAATGTCGAGTGTACATGCCTTTTGTTGCTTCACTACTTAACAAAATTTAGCTGCAATGTATAAAATCTCCAAAAGATAACATTTCTGTTCCAATAATGATCGATTTGCACCATATCCTGTCTTATTCATTTCTATATTTCAAAGAGAAAATTTGTTTTCATTGGGTGTAAGTATCCTGATTACTGCATAGGGATGTGACGAAAACTAGTGGACTAGGTACCGAGAAAGTTTTTTGAATTTTGGAAAGATAAATATAGTTTTTGAAAAGTGAGGAGCCGAAGGTTTTTTTAAGAAAAGCGACGATTTTAGCAGTAAAAAACTCCAGTTTTCTATAAGTGGGGCATGTGGACCTCTCCACCAACTATCCATCCACCATTCACTCGCCACACCCATGTCACTACTATATATATACTGACATCATATTTTTTGTTTGAGATGAAAGATAAGAACAAGGATAAACTTAACTTTTTCGTACAGACTTTGCACACAGTGGTAGAATATTTTTAGCGAAGAACCAAATGTGGACGTTAACTTCTCATCTTTTTTCTACTGCAGACGTTTTTAGACTACAAAAATGATTGACGTTGTTAAGAAAAATACGACTCAAAGCGAAAAAATGTACTTTTTACTTAAGTCTATTGTACTGTAGTACGCGTACTGAGTACATTTATACTTTTAAACGATATTGAACAATTAAATGACGAATATAAGATTGAATGATCGAGTTCTTAGAAGAAATAGGTTTAATAATTTCATTTAAAAATAAAATACATTTACATGTGTCTGCTGAAAAAATAAGCTTAGAAATACATAACGGTAATTTAATATTAATTGATAAACAAATTGTTATTTGACAAGCATAAGGAAATTGTGAGTTAATAGAAAAAATTTTTCATGTTTTGTAATTATAATATGATCTATATGTTCAATTCTTTTAATATCAGATCGAATTGATGAATTAAATTCGTCTTTAACAAGAGGTAATCTTCGTTGATCATCTTTATTTGATGGCCATAGTAATGAATAAATATGTATTCATTTTTATAATAAACAAAATTCATTGACCATTGATGAAAATCTTCTATTAACGTTTGATCATCAATTCTATAGGTCATTGTATAATCAAATTGACGAAGATGTGGTAAATATTCATTTAATATTGATTCAAATGTTTGACCATCGGTGAATATCAGATCAGGTGTATCAAGAATACTTAGGGTTAATTTAACCAAACTCGGCATAGAACTAAGAATAGATTTAATATTATCAATAACAAATCCGATACCATTTTCCAACAATGTAAATTGAGTTAATCGAGGACATGGTTGTGTACTTTTAGGTGAAATACAAGCTTAAATAGAAACAGATTTCGAATTAGAAATTAATGACGATGAATCTATTTATTCTTCAATATATTTTACATACAAACTATTCTTTATTGACACAATTGAATAAATCGTCTAGAATAGACGATTTAAGTTGGGATAGACCAATCACGTTGGTTAATTCAACTTTAAGTCAATTCACTTCCTTCTGTCTGTTTCTGGTAGCAGAGAGGTTCACTGATCGATGAAATTATAACTTCGTCAGACAAAATAGTTACAACTTCGTCAATATTGTCTAACGAATTTATAATTTCGTCGAGCAGTGCAACTTCTCTATGACATATATATATATGTCACATTAACAAGCATAAGATCAGAATAAAAGAGTGAATAGCGAAATCGAAGTATATCTAATAGTGTTTATATTCTAATAAACACTTTCCATCTCATCCTGTATTTATTTGATCTAAGTACAGTTTGTTTTGTTTGTAAGAAAATGAATATAAATGAATAACTTCCCAGTCAGACAAAAATTTTGAAAAACGCGTTTAAACGCACATTCTGGAACCGCGATTGTAAACCATTAACGCTAATTAAAAAAACGCACGAAAACGCGTATATTGGCGTTTTTTGTAACTTTATGGCCGTTAAAACACCGAAAACTCCAATTTTTGAGCGTTAAAACGTATTGTTTTTAAGTTCTAGAATAATAGTGCGTTTTAACGCTCAAAAACTGGAATTATGAGGCTATCGAGGACAAAAATTCGGAAGCTTTTATCGAACACATGAATAGTACGGTCTTATACAAGAAAAGGTCTATCTATATGATTTTCTCAATTTTTGCTACGAAAGTGACCAACGTGTCGATCGATCGCGTTCAGTGCCACAACAACGGGACACTCTGAAATTTGTATCAAAGATAGAGCTCGTCAAGCTCTATCACCTGCCATAATCAGCTTCCCATTCCCGAACCAAAAACAGGCCTTTTAATGATCGATTCTCTTTTTTAGCTATCGAAAGTATAACTGTCTAAGAACAACATACATCGACTTTTAAACAAAAGTCCATAATTGACTGAGTTGTTTACTATTTCATACAGCATCATATACCGAGTATCGCCTGAAATTTCTCGGTCGATACCTCAAACACAACAGCCAAAATCTTCAAAATACTAATGAGCTTTTTTTCTGATAATAGCTTGCTCATTTTTCTCAGCTAACTTGTTCACTGGGTTTGAAGTTCAAAACTTGATATTTTCTACTGAAAGGCAATATATTCTTCGACTAATTGTCTGATTTCAAACGAATATTGATGAAACTACCTACATAGGAAATGGCCTATGGGATGTTAGTTAAATAACATCATCTCATAATTACACGCATCCTATCGAAACCTCACTACAATCAGTCTCAAATGAGAATGAAAAGTTCTACTCAGTCATTTCATATATACTGGCCTACACACCTGTTCCCACTACATTCCGTACTGAATGAATGAATTAAAAAAGTAGAAGCTCTGTATCCATCAGAATGTGTAGAAGATGAAGCTTTATTGAAGCTTTATCAGGTGAAAGTACGGCCATAATGAAAAAACACATTAGATGAAATGCATTATCGTCCATTTCATTTGAATCATTTCCATTTTCATCAGTAACACTTGAATTCATTGCGTTTTCGACTTCTTCATAGAGCAATTGTTCTTGCTGCTGAGTTTGCTCATCGTGAAAGTATTGATCAGCGTACTAATCGTCGCTGTTGAGATACTCATCATCTTCTATACTACTTTTCGAGCTGTTACTAGCAGCTTGTTCAATACGGAATCGATCAGTTTTTTTGACGGTGAAAGTTTCTTTCGGCATGCGGCCAACGAGACTTCGAATTTGGCTCTTTCGCAAATATTGACTACAGCTGAATTGTTTTGATTTATCGGGTTTGATTGCTAGGCACGTTTCTTCAAAGGCTCTTTCGACTGTGATTTTCTTTCCAGTTTCTTCGCCGACTTGGAACAATTGACGGAAAAATTTACGATGATTTTCTGTAATGTGTTGTTTGTTGACGCTGTCGAATAGCATACCCTTTTGTAAAGAAAACTTTATGAAGTGGATGATTTTCATATTTTAAATATATGCTGCCAACGCCTAAATCTTTCACCGATTCCAAAGCTGTTTTTTTGCTTGTTTCTTGAAGAAGACGGCTTCCTTGTAAATGCTCGATGTAAATCTGTCGAGCACGATCGTTAGTTGACAATACATGCTCATTGCCATACAAGTGGTTTCCGTTTGCTTCGTGCTGTATAAAATCTTCTTCGCTATCGAATGTTGCTGAACATGCATCATTCGAGCAAAAAAACGCAACTGGTGATGGATTACTTTTTGTGACAAATTGTTCTTTCGGATTTTGTGTAGTAGAAAATGGCTGCACGATTACTACTTGGGAAATGAATTTTCCTGTCGAGAAGTTGTTCGCCTACCCATTACCGATATTGAAATATTGCCAAAAAGTCGCCAAACTATCAGCAAATTCCACTGAATGATACTTGGTGATTTCGGGAATTTTCGTTTTGGGTAAAACACATTTCCTCTCGTCGATAGCAATGACCGATGTTTTGGAGCCAGATAAGCAGCCAAGAGAACCATCTAATGCTTCTTTGATTGAAATAGCAGATTTTATGTTGCCACCTCGATTCGTGTATACCCGAAGACAAGATTTGGCCACGGCCGTATCTCGATCCGCCTGATCCTTCCCACGCTGGGGCTCACTGGAATCTGTTCGCTTGAGAAATATACCAGCATGAGAACAAAGAGCTGATCGAGCCATAATCACCGATCCACCAGCATAACAGCCAGCATTGTCACTGCGTGTGTATAATGCAGACAAATGTGGTAACTCTTTCCTAATTTGAGCGAGTACGTGCTCAAAAACACATAATACCGCAGCCATATCCTGCAAACATCGATCGATTGCTGTGAAGTATGTGATTTTTTTGAGTTTTAGATCGTTATTCATGTAAAAAAGGACGTCGACATGAAGAGAAATACCTTTTTTACCGAACCATTCATCCATTTTTTCACGGTGCGCCTGAGCCTGCACTTTCATGGCCCAGTCTGATAGTAATAGACCGCTTTTCGAATCTAATTGGGACATAACAAAAGTTTTACTTTTATCCTGTTGAATCCCTCGTATGATATGAAACATTCATGATATAATGCCTTCTGTAGCCACTGATGCATCAAATTTAATTTCATCCTTCACGTTGGATGATTCCATCATATCAATTAGATCTTCCATATGACAAAGAAGAATAAGTAGAGAATTACATTGAACGCATGACATTGAATTGGTTGATTGATGGCAGTCACTCTGGAAGTTTTTATCAGACGGATGACTGAGGGCAAATAACGAACAATGAGTTCCACAATTGGTATCATCTTGGAGCACGTGTTGTCGAAATTCAGCTTTCAAATAAGTACGACTCAAAGCAATTAGTTGGAGTAGGTTTTTCTTTTCAAGGTCGTCAACACGAAGTTGTTGAACGATTCGTTGAAGAACATCAAAGCCAGCATTACCATCGACGGCGAAACTGTCCAATCTGCTTAACGTTTTTTTCTGTCGCATCTTGCAAATGTTGAGTAGTCGAAAGACGGTGCTTCGACTCAGTGGTTGTGAATATGACGTGTGATCACAGTACCGTTTGTACAACTGAAAAATATGATTTTTCATCACGGTTCGGACGACATGTGGCACGATCACTTTCTCACCACCATCAAATTGCATAAAGATAGTCCCATAAGCGACGTCTTGAATAAGTCCACATGAAAATAGAAAATCAAAGAAAAATTCAAGTCTGTGTTTTTCAATACGTTCTCGTCGAATAATAACTGGATTCAACAAATCAAACTGAGCATTTTGATTCTGAAGAGAACGACTTTTATCAATCATATATCAACTACATCCAAATATTAACTGCAACTTTTCTCGTGTGTACTGATTCGGTACAGTTGATAACAGTAGAAGTTTCCATTTTCGACTTGGAGCTATTTGGTAAGCATCAACAAGTGATTGCATCAAAGCATCCAACGGCACTTCATCGTCGTTATGATTCATTTCTTTTTCGAACAAACCGAGTAGGTTTTTGCCTTGTCCAGGCGCCATTGCCTCGCAGATAAAGATCGAGGCAGCGTCGATCACATTTGTGTAGTGACGTTTTAACTCGCTAATCGTAATCTTTGATAAACTTTCAATTGGCTGACGAATCTGATATGACAAAGGCGAAATATTGGTAGAAAGTTTCTTGAGTAGATCATTAACGTCACTTACTGACATTTCGTTGATAAACATCGATTCGGAAGAAGAATTGCTCGATTGTGATTGAATGTCAGGATCATTATGCGAAATTGAAATCGCGTGCATTTTTTCTTGGGCACGAATTTTAGACATACGTGGATCATTTCTTGCCTGAAACACAGTCGGTGAATATTTTTGCTTATGAATAACATCGTTATTGATTTTCATAGAACACCGAGCACAAACTTTTTGATCAACTGAAAACTCAAAGTTTTTATTACCATTGATATGTTCGATTCCCACTAATTTCATGCTTGATTCGACAGGTAACCAGTGTATAGCCTTAACTTTCTCTGTCATGTGATATGGTGACTGGCATAGCGTCGACGGTCGCCAGAATACTCCAAATGTATACTGATGATAAGGACAGATGACGTCGTTGTCATCACACACATCAGGAACACCCATACGATTCATCACAAGTTTTCTCTCCGTGAATTGAGACAAATCGATGCCTAAATCTTGGTCATGCTGCTTGACATTTGCGTCGAGACTCGATAACGAGACTAATTGTTGAGAAATATCGCTTCTTTTGCCACTATACGTACCACATTTTCCTCTACTATGAAACATACATTCGAAGAAGTTTGTGGAGGATGCCATGCAGAATATTTCTGGAAATGAAAATCAATAACTATTATTTTTTCTTACAGCAGTACGGATAGGCTTGATTCCTACCATAAAAAAAGGTCGACAATTGATATCCTGAGTATTCGTATCTCCGAAGCAGTAAATTGAATCGCCACAAGCCAATACTGTAAGTTGTGCGTTTGTGAACGTGCGTTTGGTTTATATAATACCACTATTAATTCCTCTTTGCTTCGATCTCCCGACTATATTCTTCACAAAAGAAAAAGAACATACACTCTCCATTATAAACGAAAAACAACACAGTTTATATTCTCCTCTTCCAACGCATATCATCTCTCACATATATTCACATTCCAACGAGGTTTTTTCTTCCCAGAGAGGGATACATTGAAAGAGAAGAGAAGAAAAGAGAAGAGATACGAAAAAATTAAAGAGTGCAGTATGTACCAAGCCAAAAGATAAAACAATATATACATCAAAAGAAAGAAGGAATACAACAGTATAGTTAAATATGTGTCATGATCGACGGTCATGACAAACACAAACTACATACAAGAAATTATGACCAAGTAGCCAACATGTAGAAGTAACATGCTAATCAATATTGTAGTGAGGTGTCGATAGGATGCGGACAATTATGAGATGATGTTATTTAACTAACATCACATAGGTCATTTCCTATGTAGGTAGTTTCATCAATATTCGTTTGAAATCAGACAATTAGTCGAAGAATATATTGCCTTTCAGTAGAAAATATCAAGTTTTTAATTTCAAACCAAGCTAACAAGTTAGCTGAGAAAAATGAGCAAGCTATTATCAGAGAAAAACTGATTAGTATTTTGAAGATTTTGGCTGTTGTGTTTATGGTATCGACCGAGAAATTTCAGGTGATACTCGGTATATGATGTTGTATGAAATAGTAAACAACTCAGTCAATTATGGACTTTTGTTTTAAAGTCGATTTATGTTGTTCTTAGACAGTTATACTTTCGATAGCTAAAAAAGAGAATTGATCATTAAAAGGCCTGTTTTGAGTTTCGAAATGGGAAGCTGATTATGGCAAGTGATAGAGCTTGGCGAGCTCTATCTTTGGTAAAAATTTCAGAGTGTCTCGTTGTTGTGGCATTGAATGCGATCAATCGACATTTTGGTCCCTTTCGTAGCAAAAATTGAGAAAAACATATAGATACACCTGTTCTTGTATAAGACCGTGCTGTTCATGTGTTCGATAAAAACTTCTGAATTTTTGTCCCCGATAGCACAATTAACGAATAATCATCCCCGGAAAAAAACCAGGAGTTGAAATTCTTTCAACTCGAAATAAAAAAGTCGATTTATTGGAAAAAATAAGTAAAAAAAAATAGGATCAGAAAAAACCATCCGTATTTTGAGGATTTCTCTTCAGAAATACATCCGATTGAGCTCAAACTTTCAGAAAGTACATAACTGATCATTTCCCACAACATATCAAAAAAATCAGCCAATTCTGACATATCACTCCATCGTCGATGTCTGAGTCTCTCAGAGACTTACTCTTAAGAATATGTAGAGAGGTATAGATTTTTCTCTAATTCTTGGTTTCTTCTTGTCCGTACAAAAGTAGAGATGTTTGTTTTGTTGTATTCCGGGAATTCTGTAGATTACTAATTTCTAGATTGCGGATATCGCTCATTGATTTTTTTAAAATTCCTCAATTTAATTTGTATAGTCACGGAAAGTCTATTTCAACAAATAACTGAATGTTATGAAACATGAGTAAATTGCAGGAAATAGGTTTTCAATGACAAGAAAAATCGAACTCAAGAATTTCGAAAAAATCGATTAAAGATTTTTATTCCTCGATCCCGTAATGTTTTAGTCAAATTTTACGAAAATCTGTTATTTTTGTTGGAAAATAGTCTTGTCTCGCTTAAAAGAAAATCGAATTGAAATACTATGACACTCACTCATAGCTATCACCTTAATTTCCAATCTAATGCCAAATATGTATGAGCATCACAGCACTTTCAGTATCAAGAGGTCTAGAAAAGATACTAGGAGTTTCAAATCTGGATTTTCCGGCTTGTATCACAGTTTACAAGATAATGTCTATCGTCAATAAGAAATAAAGAGAATATTTCTTGTTTATATCTCATGGTTTAACAGATTACCAAGAGCGCCATCTTATGTTCATTTTGAACATGTTGAACATTTTTACAAAATGTTCAACAAAAAATATTAGTTGATAGAAAAAAATGATTTAAGATCTAAAATAAAAAAATTTTATTCATTGACATTAATAAATGACTTGAATTAATCGATCTCTTTAATATATAATTGACCAATGGTCAATCCTTTTGAGATGTGACTGGTCGTATTGTTTGTTTGTTTTCTCATATGATCATTATCATTTGACTTTTGGCTTGTATTCGACAAACAAAACTTCTCATAAATACTCGTGTTTTTTTTAATTTCTACATAGAACCATCAGTTGATAATGTTTATTCGACTGTGGGTTACATCTATTTTACTTATCATTGTTGTTCAAACAGCAGTAACAAACAGTTCAAAAGGTCAAACGGCTGATAGTCTTAAATTACTTAAACAAGATCCACTTGATTATGATTATGATCTAAATGATCAAAAATTATTAGGAAATAATATTGAAGGTAGTGGAGGTGCTGCAAGTCTTGATGAATATGCTGATGATGATGAAGAAGAAGAATTATCTAAAGTTACTGCTAATATTATAAGTAGTAGTATGACTTCTACAATAACAACAACAACAACAACAACTGCAAAATCAACTACAATTAAAACTACAACAACTACTACAATATTATTAACACCATGGATGAGAACTACATTTAATTATGAACAACGAAATGAAAGAAATCGAACTACTAGTACAACAACATTATCAGCATTTAATGATTTAGATGCAAGTGAATTTAAAGATGATAATGAAGAATATGCTGATGATCTTGAAGATGATGCTTATTATAATGAATTTACAGTAACAAATAAAATGTCTACAACAACAACACATTCAACAACACGATATTTAACTCCAACAACTCGTCAATCATTAGTTGTTAATCATACGGCACCTATTTGGATACTATTTAAATTTCTAACACGTCCACCTATTGCAGCCGGTATTCTTGCTGGTAAGTAACTCATAAGAAAATAGAAATTTTTTAAATTTTATTTGAATTTATTGTAGGTTTAGCTATTGGTATTTTTACATCAATAATTCTTCTTATTTGTATTATTCAACGTTATCATAAACGTGAAAAATCTCATTCATCATATACAACAGGTTTACTTTATCCAAATCAATATGGTTATTCAAAGTCACCACAAGAATTTTATGCTTAAAAATTTAATGAGTTTTTGTTTTTTACATCGATTTTCTTATCTTTTGTTGTCGTTACGTTCGTTAGTGAAATGTTTTTTATACTGTCAAGCTCAATTTTGTGTGAATGTATCTCATGAATACGGACATTTATATATATATATATGTGTGTGTGTGTGTGTGCGTCAGATCGATAAAAATATCTCCCTTTTTCTTGTGCTTATAAATGTAGAATAAATAAAATATTTGTTTGTCTCTTCTTATCAATATATTCTTTTTTGATTTCGATTAGAAATAATAACAGTTTCACTAGATAATGAAGAATTTATTGTTGATGTTAATGATGCTATATCAATTTCAGACATTGAAGATTGTATAAATGAAGTTGAAGAATTTTTATTATTGTTCATACTATAAAATGTTAGTTCAGATTCTTCATCAGAGTATGAATTACGTCGTTGATGATATGATTGAAATGAATTCTTTTGTAGACTTGAATTCATATTTACATTTTCAATTGAAATAGATTCATCGAATCGTGTTGGATTTTTATCAGAACTCGCTAAGAATAATAATAAAGAAAAAAAAACAAAAGAGAAACATGTTGAAGGTTATATAAACTAGAAACTGTCTGAGATGGCAAAGAGATGTTTTGATTAGTTACTTATAGTAACATGATTCCTAAATGATCTTGAATTTAATCACTACTAACTTGAACGATAGACAACTACTATAAATTTCTAATGCTATTTTCTCAGTAATTAAAGTAATTTCGTTACGAGTCTCTCTTTTTTTCTGTCTAATGAAAACTCTGCATACCGCTTGTAGCTATATTTGACATATTTTGTTGTTTTTTTTGTCTGATAATAAAATCTGTAATTGGTTCTCGATTCTTCATTTTAATAAAATGTCCAGATAGAATAACATAGAGACAGACTATTGTGACAATAATTAAAAGAAGTACAAAAGGAATAATAACACCTGTGGTTATATTTTCTTTCTTTGTAGATGTTACTGTAGTAATAATAGTTGTTACTATTATTGATGAATTTTTAATAAATGATATCGATTCAATATGATTATTGCTTAAAGATAGATCAAAATTGTTTGTTGATAATTGGTAGTTTTTATTTAATTGTATATTTTGACAAAGTTGATATTCTTTAGCACATATATAACGATATTTATCATTTTGTAAATCAATTAATGAATGACCATGTTCAAAATGAGATGATTGAAGATTACATTTTCCTTCATGTTGTTGAGTTTGACAATAATGAAAATGAATTTTTTCTAATGGTAAATAAACAAAAGAACAATCACAATGTATATTAGAATTTAATTCAATTGATAATAATTTATTTGATTGAAATAAATGATTAAATAAACATAATGGTAAATGAAAATTTTCATCACATATTATTATTGTTAATTGATTTCTTGTTGTTAAAGAATGTATCCATTGATCATTATTTAATTGAAATAAATTCCATTCACCATTTAATATTAATGTACGAAGACGTCGAATATGATTAAAAAATGTTCGTGGTAAAGAAGATATTTTATTATGAGAAATATCAAGATATAGTAATTTTGAATTTGATAATATTGTTGTTTGATTAAATCGAAGTTGATTTTGATTTAATCGAAGTATTTGTATTGATGATTGTGAAAAACACCATGGTATATATTCAATATAATTTTTAGTTAATATTAATGTTATTATTGTTGATATTTGAAAAAAATTACATGGTAATATGGAAAGAAAATTTGAACTTAAATCAACAATTAAATTTTGATGTTCAGTTGTTTGAAGAAATTTTATTAAATTATACGGAATTTCATAAAGTTTTGCATTTTGACATGTTACATGATAACCTTAAAAATATCTTATTAGAATATAAAAGAACAAAAAGATATTAAATTTTTTACCATCAAATGCAGAATAACATTGACAAAATATTGGACAAGTGTCTATAGATCAATTTAAGGAATAGAAATCTTTTTTTAAAGCGAAAAAAAAAAATAAAAACCTTCGCTCACCAATATTACAAAATCGAATAGCTAGTAAGACAATTATTAACAGCATTATGATTCATCGAAGTAAAATCTATTTAACTTGGCGGTAATCTTTACTTGTTTTCAAATATACAAAAATAAATAATCATTGATCATGTTTACTAATTGACTATGTTCTATTTCGATCAATAAAGAATTTCTTCTTTTGTTCAACTGATTTTATTGATAGAGAAAAGGTGTTATACGTGATAGGAAAATTTCTATAGATTGTTTTGTTCAGTGAACTTTTGAAATTTATCTTTAGCATTATTTTTAACCTAAAACGCTTTACTTGCATATAATTATTGTTAATCTATGTTACATCATTGTGCAAATCTCAAGTGTTATGCTAGGTAAATACTATTTTTTTTTTATTGATAGATATCATGTTCGAAATGACTTTTGAATATTAATACAAATATATTATTTCTTTTTGTGAACATTGCGTTCATATCTTCTCGTAGTCAAAATATTGTTTGAATCATTTTTTTTGTTGACAATCTTTTCGTTATATATATTAAAACTATCAATTTAAATGGTGAATGATTTATTGTTAAATTAATTCTTCAAACAAAAACCAAAAATCACAAAATGATGCATTCTTGATCTACTTCCTTTTCAAGTCCGGAAATGCGCCATTTCCTTTATTGACAATAAAAAAAAGTTCTTAAATATCAAAAGAAAAAAAGTTTCTTCCCAATTACTCTCTTCGCATGAAATATTCTCACATTGAGAATAGATTTCAAAACATAACTATATACTGAGAGCACTTATGATCAAATTTAAAACTTTCGTTTTCTTTTTTTATGCATGTGAACTTTTATAAGAGAGAGAGAGAGAGGTCAACCACTCTATCAGCTGTTTCGTTCTTTTCCTTGTAATCGTTGTTGACTTTCTTCTCTCTCTCTCTCAGTTTTTTTTCCTATCGTTCATAACCACTATTGAGAGATGATGGCAGAAAATGAGAGAGAGAGAAACAACAGACACATGAATCTTATCGCCCGTCTAATAATAGCAGACAGAAGAGGAAATATGTTACTATAGCCACGACAGTTTTCATGTAAATTCTTATTGAATAGATTCGATTATAAGTATAACATAAAAAGAGTAATGTTTGTCATTCGTTGCTAGTTCTCCTTCATTATGTCTTTTTCATGATCAAACAATAATGATGTAATCAAACATTTGTTTACTAATCTTTCTTTTTTTTTTCTTTTACTCCGTCTTACGTATATATACACATTAGAGATATATTCAAAGATTACACGACATACTGGTTTATCGATTAACCTTGATGAAAAAGAAAAAAAAAAAAAGAAGTAGATATTCCGAAGTTCTTTTTTTCTTTTGCTTCAGATCATCATGACGAATTTAACAAATCGTACAATAATGATACATGAACATTGTGATTTAAAATTACCTACACATTATGATTTACATTGGTTAATTGCTTATATATCATTAGCATGTGTTGGATTATTTTATGGAATATTTGGTAAAACAAAAAAGTTTTTATTTTTTTTTTTTGGTATAAAATAATTTGAAATTCTTTTGTCTTTTTATAGGTTATCGTTGGTGGCGTTTAACTATGTTTTTAACATCATTTGGTCTTAGTTCATTAGTTTTTTATATTATTTTATCTATACAACCAACAATGAATGAATTACAATTAATAACTATATCATGTTCAATAGCTATATTATTTGGTTTAATTAATATATTATTACAATATGTTGGTTTATTTACAAATGGTTTTTGTTTTGGTTTAATTATATCAATAATAACATTTATTATTTTGGATATAAAAAATTCTACAAATGGTATAACAACATCATTTTGGTTAATTATTGGTTTAATATTAATCTTAGGTTTAATATGTTCAATATTAACATTACGTTTTCAAAAATTTATGCTTATTATTATATCATCATGTTTATCTGGTGTATGTCAAATGCTTGTATTAGATTATTTTCTTCAATTATCAATTTTACTTATTTATGTACATAAACGTCTTTTATTTGAACCAACACGATTATCATGTATTCGTCATTGGATTATTGTATTTATATTACCTATTGTTATGTTATTTTCAATTGTTATACAATATACATGTACAGGAAAAAATTATGATCATAGAGATTCATGGCATAGAAGTATGATAAAATATCTTTTTTTTTTTTTTTTTTTCATAAAGTCATTTGAGCATGTCTAATTACTTATTGTTTTCGGATAGATGTGTCTCATGAGAATTGAATCTTTTTCTTTGTGTTATCAACATGAGAGTGTATTGACCTTGAACCGTTTCTTTTTTACTTTATGACCGGATATGTATGTACACTTATCATAGAAATAGAAAGATAACATTACACTCTTGAATAGTTAATTAATGTATCCTTCAATTGATGTCAAAGAGAACATTAGAGATATGCTTATTGACATATGAAGATTCTAATAGATTCGTTCTTTAATCTTACAAAAAGTCAAATATGGAGAAAAAAAATTTCTTTTTTTTTTTTTTCTTTTAGCTATTAGTGCAGGCAGAAAACATTATAAAACAGCAAATTTAAAAAAAATTCGTCGTCATTATGAACGAGATACACTTCGACAACAAATTATTCCTGATGAAAGTAATCGTTTTCGACATTTTTATCATCTACGACGAACTAATGGAGATGCTCTTTCATCAGTAAGTTTAATATTAACAGAATTTTGGTTTTAATTGATTTATTGATCATAATCCATACATATATATTTATTGTTTTGACTTCATACATATTAGAAAGCCAATGGCAAAGCTCTCAAAAGCTTGTAAGTGGGGGGGGGGGGAGGGTGAACTCTCCATAGGTCAAAATTCTGGCTCTATTACTGTAAAAATGACTTACCATTAAATGTGAATGAACTAGTATAAAAATTATTAATAAATAACTCTACTTTTGATGGTTATAACTTTTAATCGAGAGTGTCC